AAAGAGCACTTTTGTACCTGTTCTGTTTCTCTTCCCAACTGAGTTAAGTAGCAGAGTAGGGGAAGAATTAAAATGAGGTTATCCAAAGCAGTTCAGTCCAGTTAGACACAGTAGAATCTACACCTTTATCCAGGACCCTCCTCAACCATTCCTATACTAAAAACAGTTGGAACAATTAATACATGTTCTTTGTGGATTTAATTTCTATGTGACAAGCTAATTCCATACGTGAATTTATTGATAAATTATTAATCCCGCTTTCTATATCATGCTAAATTATTTTGAAAAATTTAAACCTATAATAACTAAAATCACCATTGTGTAGGAGAGGAGGGACAGAACCTTTGGCCATTTGGAAGGGAAAGAAGGAAGTCCTCCTAGTAATTGCTCCTGAACCTACTAACAGAATCAAAGCCAGAGATAGTATCTACCCACCAGTGTTAACTTACTCCAGGAGAAGTTGAATTGCATTTCTGCTGAGAGTGATTTATTTATTAAGACGCACCATAAACTTAAGTTAAAAAGCCCAAGTACATTATGTATAAATTGTCTATGAGGAGCTTTAGGAAGTTACACTTTAGCTTCTTTTTCAGGTTCTAACCCACATCAACAAGAGAAGGTACAGTCCATCTGGGCTGCTTCACAGGGGATTGAGTGTCATGCTTGGTGTTCAGGTTATCTCTATGTCCTAAACAACCTGGACAATGTCTTTTTATGACTCAAAGCAATTGTTCATGAGAATCAGTTTCACAGAAAAGGACATAATCAAATAAGAATAAAATACATACGATCTGTGCCAACACACCCTTCTCACTCTCTAGATTGTGATTCTCCATCTTTCAACACTGTTTTTCCTCTAGGACTTAGTAAACACCCATGGCTAGAAATTAACCTGTGCTTATAGTATGGAAAAGACAGTCAAATATTAATATGAATCAAAATACTATGGGAGATGTTCAAACACAGACTACTAAATTCCAACCCTCAAGTTTCTCACTCTACAACATAAGACTTAAGACTGACATGTGCCAGGTGAGTCATAGAGCTAACAAATCACCACCCCTTGACAACAATGATGCTCCTGTTCAGTGGTATCTATTAAGCATTTGAATTTTCTAGACACGCCTGTCTAGGAGACATAGTAGTAAGGGGAAATGGTACACTTGACTTAGCAGAGACTGGTCAAATGATCATACAAACAGACATCTAATTGCTACATTGCTGTGGTTATCAAGATTCTTACTGATTGCGCTTAGGAAAGGAATACAGTGAGAAAGACTGTGGTCAGTTGCCTCTAGATATCATTGAAGGATTCAGTGAGCAAGAAAAAGAGGAGATGAGGCTATGTATCAGAATGAGAAGAAAGTATCCCAGACTT